GTATATATATATATGTATAATCTTTCAATGCTGCTGGTGAAAATCCTATCTTTAAAGCCACAAAATCTTCACCTTTATTTCTTAATTAATATTAACCTGTGGAAAAAAACATTTTGCTATTAACTGACTTCATATACATAGAAAAAAATTCTGCAGTCTTACAGAAACTGTATTACCCATTCCCTTGACATCTGATGAAAGAGACTTAACTTTTAAAAGTAGAGAGCTGGATTTTCAAGAATGCTTTCAACTATCTATACAGTTACTGTAGTGTTTCTTATAAATTCAACAGATGTTTTCAGAATGTAGTTATTAAAATCTTATGTCTTTATGCAAGAACAGCCGCAAGGTTGAATATTTACATTGCTTTATAAAAGTTCCCCTCGATTTTCGATGTTCACCCACATACCTGGTACAGTAACAAATATTCTGCAAACTTAAAACACTTTAATTAAATAATACTCAGAGGCACAAAGCAAACCTCAGGAATACATGGGTGAACACTTTCTTAAATAATTACTACATTCTAACATCTTCCACGTGTTTACCATTAAATGTGAAACGTTCCCATTAAACAACCAGAGATACAGTAAGAATTAAATGTTTTGTAGTTTCAAATAGAACATTCTTTTCACAAAACATAACAAATGTCTAAAATAGGTTCTTAATCTAGATAGGAAAAAGGTAAGCTTTTCACTTCATACGCTTATTTTGTGTGTGTGTGTGTGTTCCTGTGTATATATACATACATACACCCGCACTTTTTGTCTCTGTGTGTGTGACTACGTATGTATATGTATATGCACATGTCACGTATGAAATATTGCTTCTATACTACTTTTCATCAGGCTAAGAAAACACAAGATTTGCACCACAGTTACAAAAAATTGGCTTCTACAAGAATTTTCAAAACTTGAATGCTGCTCAAACAATTGAGAAAAAATAATTTGCATTATCAAACTGTTCTAAAAATTCTCTTCTTCAAAAACGTATTCTCCTGCTTTTTTTTTTTGCTTTTTTTTTTAATTTTTAAAAAGACACAAAATATGCATAGCTATCAACATTATGTCAAACAGCCGGGAAAAAAAAAAAAATCAGTGTTTATTGCAGCTGTAGTAATTGAAAAATAAAGTTTAAAAGATGAAAATTGTAAGCCACAGAAGGCACAAGAACAATTGTACTTGTGGGGAAAAAACTGGTATTTTGAAGGATTTCTTTTATCCTTCCGCTGGTGCATTTAAGGTCTAGGCACAGACTATAACCTCAAGTTTATATGCAGAAATAAATCTGAATTAGCAGTAAATGAATGGCAACATTGGGTTTCTACATGGATTTTGAAATTCTTTTCCTATGTAAACTTTTCATTACAATAAAAGTAGCCTTCTGCCTTTTAGCCATATTTAGTGAAATAATATTGAGATCATTTCAAAGAAACTGCTTTCTGCTTACAATTTAGTAGGAGCTATGCCATGTATTTATAATTTTAGGTGCATTGGGAGGCACAAAGGCAATATGGCTATAAAATGCAGAAAAATCACATAACTGAAATGTTCAAATGATCATTTATTACTTTTTCAGACCAAGGAGTTTTTTATTTTGCTTTTAAGATGAAATTTCTACTCTTAATTCCTATGCCTCATTTACTATTGAGATTACACTACTTATAAATAAATAAATAAATGCAACAACATCAAGTGTTGAGTACACGATTTCACTTATTTAGATTATGTGAATCACATTGCAGCCAAATAATAATAATAATATTAATAATAATAATAAACATAATAAAAGCAACAGTAAAATCACAGATTGAGATGGTAGCTAGTAGTATGTCCATATAGCATGACTAAAGTATGGCTTTGCTTTCTTATGTCCAAGGTGACAATGCAGTGTTATATTTTGTATCTGATGGCATGCCAATGATGAACTTTTACTGTATTAAAACTTGAGCATTTTATGCCACTTCTTCCCGTAAATCAAAAAAAGTGCATGAACACAATTTTCATCCTTTCTTAATCAGAATTCATTGGAGTTAAATCTTTATGAAGTGTAATGTTTACCAAATCATGCACACACACAAAAAAAAAAAAGGAAAAAAGAAATAAAGAAAAAAAAGAAATAAAGAAAAAAAAGGAAAGAAAATGGAAGAAAGGAAAAGAAAAGAAAGAAAAAGACACAACCTGCCTACTGTAAGAATACGTACAGTATTAGGTACTCTCAGGGAGTCTAAGATCAAGATTTGTTTTGCTTTTAATGCATAGTGAAAATGTTGGCACTTCATCCCATGCTATTGTCTGCATTGCCTATACTCCACAGATACTGCTAGTGCTTGAAAAGAATGACAGGGAATCGTAGGATTGTGCTGTTTAATTTGAAGTCAGCAGGTTTTTAAGGCTTTCTGCTAACAATAATTGCTTTCATACATTTCTGTCTGTCAGCAGTATTTGTAAATGAAGTGAAATTGCAATGATCAGGTCAGCTCTTCAGTCACATGGGTAAACTTTCACTCTCCAAAGTCAAAATGCAATTTTTAAATAAAGAAATAAGATACCAATATCCTCAATGGTCTAAATATAAATCGCAGCTAATTAGGAACTTCCTCTCGTTTTGGATTGAATTATGTAGGGGAACACACTATTGACGACAACAATAAATTCTTACTGCATCCGTACAAAAGACGACAGAGAAAATGACAAACACAGAGTGCCATAGCATATTCAACCTTCCCCCAAACTTCTGGAGACGATACCTTTCTGAAAAACGTGAGAAAAGGAGAGGCGCTGAAGAAAGCACAAGAACTAGCAGCTAGCTTTCTAAAACGTACTGCGGGGCAGCGTACATGGCTGCTGACATCCTGTGGTAGAGCGTTCGGGCGAACCCAGACCCATCAGGGGCTTTACACTGTAGCTCACATTTTGGCCAAGACTAGCTCCAGCTTCAGAAGGCAAGTGCAGCCTATTGCTCTAATACATTTTTCTTTTTTTTTTTTTTAAAGCTGCACTTCCTGTAATTTTTAAAATCCAGTTTGGCTATCTGAACCCTGCACAGCCAGGAGGACACTGTGATTTGTGTACATGTTTGATTAGATGTTTTATGAAAATGTAATTTTTATTTTTCTGATTAGGAAAAGACTAATTATATTTTACAGCTACAAAGAAGCCTTTTTTTTTTTTTTCCCCCTCAGCACTGGGAGGTGAAGACACTTTCTTCTACTGTATCTAAGATCATTCAAAAAGTGCTTTTCAGGACAGATGTCAAATACAGACAGAAAACTTTGTATACTGGAAAGGGGAATTTTGGGGCAGAATGGACTAAGAAAAGAGTAAATTTGTGGACTAATGCCACTTGAAGTAAGATCGAGACATGGCAATATAGGACGCTGAAGGTTTCATTTTTACTCTATGGAGAGTGAAATGCTTCCGCTTTAATAAGCTGACCGTATTCCAAACTTAGTGTGGTTGGTACAATATTGTGCATGAATTACTGGCCTCACCCTGCAAGAACGGTGTTTGATTTGTGCAAACATCCCTTGCTGCAATTTAGAGAAACAACAACCTGGCATGTTGATTACTGGTACAGGGTATTTATCGTTTCTGTAAGGAAAGCATGAAGAATAGGGTTTGCTTTTTTGGGTATCACTTCTTGGAGTGAGTACCTAAAATAGATGTCGTAGTTTTTTGAAGTATGAAACAATATCTAGTTATTGGTTAAAAAGTATATAAAATAAATTAAAAAAAAAAAGCTCGAAGCTTATGAAGTGACTCCACAGAGTTCAGACCTTTAGCAGTATAAACATAATATAAACTTCATTGTCTGTAGTATTGTGCCATGACATTAGTCTCACTAAGACAAAATGCCACTTTGCAGCAAGCAATAAATCTGACAAAGCATTTTTAAACGTAATGCCCTAACTTGCTAAGACAGGCTTTTACACGCTTCCCAACTCTTCTCCCTGAAAATTAACCCCGTTGATTCTTCAAATGTTAAGGGTCTCGGGCAAAAGTAAACCGAAGGCTGAAGTAAAATAACCATCCCCTTGGAACCAAACGAAAAATTGAATCCAGGAGGGATCACAGTCTAATTTCATATACATATATATGCATGCGATACACATATATATGAAATTAAAATAGAGACACACATGACTTGGGCATCAGAAGGGGACTGCTACTTTCATACATTCATAAATAGCTGCTGAACTCTCTACTCATGAAGAAGCTCTTGTAGGCAGTTTGGGGATTTGAAAATCTCGGGGACCTCACTGTCCAGCTTACAGATGACCTTGTATATGGCCTTCTTCCAGGAAGGATCAACATCTTTGCCTGCGATAATGGCATTGAAAAACTCCCGTAACGTGATCTGAGCCACTTCCAGGAATCTCTCTGGAACCTGCTGATACAAGGAGACAATGGCATTAATACAGTTTTCAATTTCAAGTCTCTGGTTCTTCAAAGGAAACTGAGCTAAGTTCTTTCTTTCAGAAAGGGGCTTACATAGCACCTGCATTTTCTAAATGTGGCAGCCTTCTATTCTCTTATGCAAAGCTGTTATATATAGTACTATAGCAATAACTTTTATAACATGTGTTAGAGATCTTTGCAAAGTCTACTGACAGAATGTAGGTAACAAAATGTTACTGTCTGAGTTTGGAGAGTGGGGGATTTATAGGCTATAATTAGTAAGAGGGGAAACAAACACAATTGTCTTTAAGGAGAGAAATCTCTGCTCAATATTTTACCCCTGTCTTTACAGCTACGTTCTCCTCTCTATGCGGGAACTAATACAAAAGTTATGCACGCACAGAAAGCCCTCTATACTTCTGCACTTCGCTTCAGTCGCAACCAGTGCTCAAAGCTGTCAAACAAAGAAACAGGATATCTCTGAATGTTGTTCATAGCTTAAAAACAAGCAAACAAGCAGGCCCACAGCTCACCACTTGCTTCCGTGGCTGCTTTCATGAGGCCCTCCTAAGATGGCTTTCCTGGGAGACATTACGGTCTTCCCTTCATTTTCAGAAGCCTACAGATAAACTCTGAGCCTCTTCAATGGGTGCACCATGCTCCAAGTGGCTACGGAGCTGGGACATGTCAAAATCATCAGAGTTTTCTGAATGCCACTGTCACTCCACAGGTGAGCCAAATGGCCAGCTAGCAGGGGCACGCCGCACTCAGAAGCCTCTGAACAATGGGCCAGTGTTAAAAACCAGTTACCTCCAAACTTTGGCAATTCATCCTAAAGAGCTGTCTCAGGCGCCAGCACCACCTTCGTACCCTCTGCCTTAAGTGTTTCGAAAGCAATCCCTAGAGTGAACTGCAGGTCTGTTGCAAGGTTGAGGTCATCTCCATAAAGGTATTATTTTCCATTATTATTACGGAAATATAGCTTCACAGCTCTAGAACTGCTAATGCGCGGCCGGCCAGTAGCCAGTATGCTTATAATAGTAAGTATTCCCTCACTGCTATTCTTTGCCCACTTCAACAGGAGTTCTCCGACCTGCAGTAGCGGCCACTTCAACCATTCCTGTGGCCAACAGACATCCAGGCACATCGCACTCATTTACTGAATGCACGTCACGTCGCCAGATCAGGGCCAGCACCTTATTCTCTAATTCAGGCTTCTGTTCTTCTCCCTTTAGAAGCCACGTTCAGAAAACAGGTCTGGAAATGTGCCTGTTTAACCCGATAGGATACAGCTCTGGAGCCTTGCTCAACTATCACCATTGGGGAAACACTAGCAGTTTGCTAACCACGTTTTGCCATCAGATAAGCATGAGATCAGCTTCCCCTGACACCAGCTGACAAACTGCTTCCAGAAGCCCCACAGCCCACAGAAGTCCTCTGTCTACCTCCGAGAGTGAAATCCAGTCCCCATACGTTTTCCTCTGCTCCTAAAGACAGGCTGCCGTCTGTGGGAATTTTTCATTCCATGGGCCGCACAGAAAGAAACATTTTTACAGATGTTCTATTCCATCAATAATTATGAGGGAAGAAAATAACCACAATAACTAACTACAGTGTTATGTTTTGTTATCATTCCAGCTCAAAGAAATAACGTAAAACTTCACACGAGTACTCTGCTGTTTGGGCATTTGGTAATGCATCTACAAAAGATACCATGCTTGTCTCATTCTTGCATTACTGTAAAAAATGATACACTTCCCTGTCCGTGCAGTTCACACAACTGTGCTCTTCATCCCTTGGTATTGCTGGGCACTAACCAAGGGAAAGTTGTTGTTGACTATGTGATACTAGAAAGCAGGAAGTGTAGGAGGCAACCAACTTCTTAGTGTACACACTGATGCTAGCTCACAAACATGTTTTTGCCTTTGTGGTTGGGAAAAAGAGTTCACACCTTTCCCTTTTAGTGTTCACTCCAGAGGATAAACATTAGATGCCCTTCTTCCCTTCCAAGTCACTGGAGATGAGAGGGAAGCAATTACAAGCACCTACATGAGAAGCATGAAGTCCAAATACCTCTCCCTACATGGTTACACCCATGACAACCTTAAGCATGGAAGTGACAACCTGAGTTTGAAGTCGACCCTTCCCCATTCAATTTCTACCTGTGCATATGAAAGTTTTCCAGGTAGGGGATGCTGCTTTTCCATAGAGAAGGCAGTGTGAAACTCCTGAGCCACTAGCTTGCAGGCCTCCCACCCCCATAAAGAAAAACAGGCTTTTCTTTTGGGCTAGCAGTTAGCGTTTAAGGTCCGACTTCATTGTACCTGAGTCACATCTGCAGGGCCGGGCCCCTCTGAACCCAATACCACAGGCTGCAGAGTGCAGCCCTCAAACATGATAATGAATGAAGATTTGTGGGGGCTTTGAAGAGACCTCCTTGTAATGCTGAATTCCCAAAGATCTTCCCTACTCCTCAGTCATTACAGCCATTCATAGCTCTTTCCTTTTGGGATGTTATTAGCAATTTTTCATGTCAGACTGGATTACACATGTTACTTTGCATGTTGTAATGTGAATAGCACTGTGATTAATCCCCACAGGATAGTACGCCGGCCAACATTTTTCCTTTCTAGAAAGAGTAACTGCAGTGGTTTATGCTTGTTTGGCTGTGGTTTTCTTTTTTTTAAGTAGAGGAAAGACTAGTGAAGTCCAGAGCCTGAAAATAAATATTTAAATGGATGGATAGTTATATTTTTCAGTGGGCAATTATTCAGTCAGCCATGTTAATTATTTGTCTGGAGGTGGCATTTCCCTGACCCTAAGTGATGGAGTCCTATTCAGCGCATCTTTGCACCTAACTGACCGAACATCTCTGAAGTAGGAACATCTGCAGAAAATGCTTCAGTGACAAATAAACTCCATCTACGTTGCTTTTAAAAGAACCAACAATCCCTACTATGAACCCAGAGCATTTTCTTAGCATCAGGTGGCAGCAGTCAATCAAACAATCACACTGTACATTCACCAGGAGGAAAGACAGTGAGGGCTGCTCAGCAGGAGGTTAGGTGGGTTTCAGGCTGAAGCCTCCACATCAGACTGA